TCGAAGAAGGGGACCAATAAGAAGGTGAGCATCAGGCACAATCTCAAGAGCAAGCGGTTGGAAACCAAGAAAAACCGGCTCAGGAGCAGCCATAGTTCTTTTATTTTCTTTTACCGGCCTGTGAGCCGTGTGTTTCAATGTAATTTCGTCGGACAAGGGTCCGGCTGACATTTCTTCATTTGTATATATATTCACCGACACAGTCGGTTTGCTTAATTTTGAAATTTTGTTGCAATTTTCACAAGTTCTATAACTGCAATTCTCAATTCTTCCGGATGTTGCCATTGTATATGCCCCTGAGCGGTTGTTGGTTTTTGACTAACTTTAACCAGCAGCCGTTTATAATACCAAGGGTTGGGTTTACCTTTGGAGTAGTCGCTTTTGCCGGATGTAAATATGCTTTGATTAACTGTCTGTACAAGGTTGCAAAAAAGACTGTCTGTGTTGTTCAAGCAGTCTAGACCGTCTGTACTACTTTTGAGTAAGGCCCGTATGTTATACGTTTGAGCAAAGCCGGTTACCCTGACCAAGACTAATATTCCGTATGAGCTTCTTTGCTAGAAAGTCCGGCTGTCTCTTGGGTACAATGAATCATTAGAACGACTTTATATAACCTCAACCGGTTTATGCCGTTCACATTTATGATTACTAGAACGTATCACCCGGATGGGGGTTGTTCTGCTAGGCGATTTCACCCTAGTAGGTGTCGTCGGATGTCTATTTAGTTAAAAATAGACTGTTCAATATTATTGTTTATACTTCTGCCACATTTAGGCATTTTCCGCCTATGTGTTTCACAGGAATTTTTATCTTATGTACAAATGGTTTATTTCAACCGGTTTCACCAAGATTTCAAACGCGCCGTCAGTACTACTTAGGAGTAAATACCGGATGTATCTTGGATGCAATGGATCATTCGAACAACCAATTATTTCCTATAACCTCAGCCGGTTAATGCCGCTCAAGTGGTGATCACTAGAACAATGTACCACCCGGAATGAAGCTGTTCTCTTTAACAATCACCCAAATAGGTGTTGCCGGATGTCTGCTCTTTTTGGAGTAGACGGTTTTTAATTAATAATATTGATCTTCCGGTGTTTGTTGCACCGGACGAATACAAATGCAAAAAAGAAATAATGTATTTCTCATTCAATATACAAATTTACAAAAAATACGAAAATACAATATTTCTCAGATGTAGTACTTTTTCAAGTTGTCTACATTCCAAGTACAAGGAAGTTCCCTATCGTCTGGGATTTCTAGACGGTAAGTACCATTTCTAACTTCTTCAAAAATCCGGTAGGGGCTTTCCCAATTGGGAGTTAGTTTCCCTTGTTTATAAGCTCTACCGGTTGCCTCAAGCTTTTGTAGCACAAAGTCCCCAACTTTGAGGGGTCGTTTGTGTACTTCTTGTTGTAAGCTCTCGTCATTCTCAAACGGTAAATCTCATAACGTAAGGCATCATTGCCCCTTCTTTCCGGGAGAGTGTCCAATGTTAGGCACATGGCTTCTCAGTTTGCTTCTTCATCATAGAGCATGATTCGAAGTGTTGGTTCATTGATAAGTGGCATTTATGCCACTATTCAGGATCCTTTTTCCTACCATTTCCCTCCATTTATCGCTTGTTTAGCCCTATTTTGCCGCAATTCTCCATATATTGCACAACAATGCTATTTCCCTCGTACTTCCCCTCTACTTTACCTTTTGTGTACTATTTTTGGGTGTTTTCCTGTGTTTTACAGGTAAACCAATCGATACGTGAAGTAGAAGAAAGTTCGGGATAGTTTCAAGAGCCGGTTTCAATAGCAAATCAAGTGAGGAGCTTCTAATCAGGCTGCGCGCCCAAAAGAGCCCTCTCTCCCGCTTTGCGCGGGCGCGCAACCCAAGGGAGAGGGCGCGCATTCAAGGCCAAATTAGGATGTATACCTCGTAGATGCCTCGTGCCCTGTAGAAGGCGAGCTCATCATCCTGTGCGGGCGCGATGATTCCTGGAAAGGGCGCGCAGATTAGCTTGAACTCTTGAAGATACAAGGCAACTTTTTGTAGATGCCAAGCGCGCTCTGTAGAGGGCGCGCAGTATACTTTGCGGGCGCGCAGATGTTAGTAGAGGGCGCGCACAATGAAGTTCGCGGGCGTGCAAACCTTAGTAGAGGGCGCACACATCATCCTGCGCGGGTGCGCAAAGAGCTGTAGCGGGCGGGCACGCTGTCAGCCCAACTCGTTTTTATTTCCCTTTTTAAAAGCTGATTTGGGAAGGAATGAAGGCAGCTATTCCATTTAGGGTAAAGTTCTTAGAACATTTCTAGAGAGAGAATAGCCTCCATTAATGCTTGTATAAGTTTATATGGAGAGAAAGTTCAGATTATTAGTTTTTATCATCCATACTTTAGTCTTTAATATAGATTAGTGCTTTGATCATCCTTGTAATCAATATTGGAGCATTCTATTGGATTTTTGGTGGTTCACCATTGAAGGTTCAAAAACCCATTTTCTTATTTCAATACAAAGTTGAAGCTTTGTAAGCTCTTTCTATCTTAATCTCTTTTATTTTGGTTTATTTACATATTTCAAGTATTTTGATAGTTATGTTTATGATTTTGATTATGGCCAATATTTTGGGTATTGTTGATATGAGTAGTTTCTCTCTCCTAGGCTAGACTTTTAGCTAGGGGAAGGGGAATGGATGACTTGGTTGCTATTTGATTAAATACTTGATTTTTGGGGATTTAAACCCTTGTTGTATGAACTTGTGCTTATTGTTATATGGTTGATGTTGTGCACCATTGACTATATTATTACATGTCCTAATTGATGCGTGGGAGTGATCATGTTAGGATAGATCGTAGTTTATACATTGCTTAATCAATTGTATGGGAATGAGTTGTGTTAAGTAGGAATTTTGATCCCTTGTTTGAGAATCCTTGATTATCTATGTGTTTAGCTCTTAATCTCCAAGTTTGACGTTCCCTGATCCCCCTAGCGTTTTTAATCTCATAGTTTCCAATACTTGTTAGTCTTTGTTAATTGTTAGAGTAATTTTGTTAGCCTTAGTTTATTCATTGTCTTGTTTTTAGTTATTAGATTGATCATAGAAATCTTCAATATCAAACCATAATACCCCCCCTTTTGTTACTTGCAATTTATCCTAGATTTCGTATTATTGTGCTAAACCCCCGTTTCCTTGGGAATCGACCCTACCTTACCGCTATCTAAAGTAAAATTGATAGAGTTAGGATAGGAGATATAAATTGTAATTTTTGGTCTAGGTAGTAGTAACGACCTATTACCATCCGATCAAATTTTGACGCCGTTGCCGGGGAGGCGGCTTGTTTTGCACATTTATTTGCGTTATTAGTCGATTTGTTGCTTTTTATTTTGTTCTTTTTCCACTTGCTAGTCATTGCTAATTGTTTTCTTAGCTTTGGTGAATGCAAAGAAGATCTCAAGGACCACCTACTCACAACCTTGATCGCGAAATCGACCGCACCTTGAGACAAGTCCGTAGACTTTATCAAGAAGAGGGACGAGGTTTTGGTGCTATTTTTGATAGTGAAAGTGATTCTTGGTCCTCACATTCCCAAGGTGACGAAATGGCAGGACAACAGGCGGATGTTTTATTTCGTGAGTTCGGTAATCCGGAGGATTATGAGCTCACCGGTGGGATATTGCTACCCGTCACGGAAACTAATTTCACCATCCATCCTCAATACACTCGAATGGTTCAAGCGGAGCAATTCTTAGGTTCGCCAAGTGAAGACCCCATTGAGCATCTTGATAGATTTCTTGAACTTTGTGCCATGATACAAACCAATTAAGTTTCTCAAGAATACATTCGGATGCACCTATTTCGACAATCTCTTGCGGGGAGGGCAAAGAAGTGGCTCAAGCAAGTCAAGCCTAATTCTCTCACAACATGGAGGGAAATTGTCCAAGCATTTTTGAAAAGGTTCATCTCCGAAGAGAAAACCGCTGACATGAGGAGGAAGATTGCATGTTTTGAACAAGAAGCGGAGGAAAGCCTTAGTGAAGCTTGGGAGAGGTTTAAAGTGTTGGTGCAAGCATGTCCTCACCATGAATACAATCAAAGCTTACTCATGAGGTTCTTTTATGATGGTTTGGAACCGATGTCTCGAGCTAATTTGGATGCGGGGGCGGGTGGACAATTGATCAAAGTCCCTCAAAATCAAGTTGAAGCAACAATTGAAGAGGTAGAAGGAGGAATGTGCCAAAAAAAGGTGGAAAATATGAGTTGGAAAAAGTTGATCAATTGCAACATCAAATTGTCCTTTTGACAAAGGGGCTCGCAAAGTTGAACACCAATGTCACTAGTGGTGCAAGCTCCTCCCAAGTCAACTCTTTCTCTTGTCAAAATTGTGGTGGCACAAACCATGATACATCCTATTGTGGAGGTTTAAGCCCGGAGCATGTAGCGGCTTACAACACAAGGCAAGAAGGATTTAAGGGAAATGGAGGAGGAGTAGCTTGGAGACAACCACCACCCGGATTTGGAAACCAACCCCAATAATGGAATCAACAATGGAACCAAAAAGCTCAACAACCGTACAATTTCAACCTTCAATACCAAAACCCTCCTCCATACCAAAACCAATATCAAAACCAAAACCCAAGAGGAAACTACCCCAAGAACCATCAACAAAATAACCAACACCAATACCAAAATCAAAACCAAGCACCTTAAAGAAGTCAAGAGCAAGTGTCTCAACTCGATTCTACTCAAACCCAAATTCTTCAACAACTTCAAGCCATGAACCAACAAATGCAAGAAGTCAAGGCCCATAACAAGATGGTCGATTCACAACTAGCTTAATTGGCCGAGAGGGTTCCTTTCAACTCATCTTCTACTTTGCCCGGACAATCACACCAACCCTTCCTACATTGTAAAACCCGACTCTTGCAAGGCAATCACATTGAGATAGGGTACATCTTATGAGGATCCCAAAGAAGAGGATAGCAAGGAAAAGAAGGAAGGAGAAGAAAAGATGAGTGAAGATAAAGAAGTTGAAGAAGAGAAGGTTGATGAGAAAGAGAGAAGTATGGAGAAAAAGAAGTCTAAGGATGTGGTGACATCCTCAACTTCTAGTGAGGCTAGAAATCTTGATGGACTAGTTCCTTTTCCCGGTCGGCTTGCGGAGAGAAAATTGAATGACAAATTTGCAAAGTTTCTAAGTGTGATGAAAAACTTACACATTAACCTCCCTTTCATTGAGGTTGTCACACAAATGCCTTCATACTCCAAGTTCTTGAAAGACATTCTCACCAAGAGGAGGAAGCTTAATGATGAGCTTATCACTCTTCCACATCAAGTGAGTGCACTTGTTCAACACAAAATGCCGGTTAAGATTGGGAACATGGAAGCTAGGGGTGCCTTAGCCGACCTTGGAGCAAGTGTTAGTTTGATCCCTCTATCCATTGCTCAAAAGCTTAACATTGAGATGATCCCTACAAGGAAAACATTCCAATTGGCCGATCGTTCGGTGAAGCTACCTTGTGGTGAGCTTGAATATGTCCCTATTCAAGTTGGGCATATCTATGTGCCTTGTGACTTTGTAGTAATGGATATGGAAGAAAATTTGGATACACCTTTGATTTTGGGTCGTGAAGCTCTTAAGACCTTGGGGGCGGTAATCAATTGGAAGAACAATACCATTACATGTGAGGTAGCCGATGAAAAAATTGTCTTTGAATTCTCCAAGCTACTCAAGACCCCCATGGTTGAGAAGTGCTATAGAGTTGATGTCGTGAATGAAGAACTATATTGTTTGGGAAGGGTCATGATGAGTCCTCAAGATCCAATGGTTGAAGCTCTCACATGCGAAGAAGAGTACTTCTCTCAAGAAGAAAAGGAGTTTTCCATGGCCATTGAAGAAGCCAAAGAGGATGAAGCGAGTGATTCTAAGCATGAGGAGCTATAATTTTATGAGGAAAAATTGGAGAGTCCTAAGCCTCCTCCCAAGGTAGAACTCAAACCCCTTCCCCCTTCTTTGAAATATGCTTATCTTGGAAATGAAGGGGAATACCCTATTATTGTCAATGCTTCCCTTGATGGTCTTGATTTGGAAAAATTGATTGTTGTTTTGAGAAAATATAGAAATGTGATAGGGTATAGCATTGATGATATCAAGGGTATTAGCCCTTCTTTATGCATGCATCGTATTCACCTTAAGGATGACCAATCCGCCTCTATTGAGCCTCAAAGGAGGTTGAACCCCAACCTCCAAGAGGTTGTTAAGAAAGAAATTTTGAAATTGCGTGAGGCGGGTATAATCTATGCTATCTCCGATAGCAAGTGGGTTAGCCCGGTTCACATGGTTCCAAAAAAGGGTGGAATGACCATTGTCAAGGGATAAGGAGGAGAGGAAATCTCCACCCGGACGGTGACCGGGTGGAGGATGTGCATTGATTATAGGAAGTTGAACAAAAACACTAAGAAAGATCATTTTCCTCTCCCCTTCATGGACCAAATGTTGGAAAGACTCTCCCATCATGCTTTCTTTTGCTTTTTGGATAGATATTCCGGATTTTTCCAAATTCCCATCCATCCAAATGATCAAGATAAAACTACTTTTACGTGTCCATACGGGACATTTGCATACCGAAGAATGCAATTCGGGTTATGCAATGCTCCCTCAACTTTCCAACGATGCATGACCTCCATTTTTTTTGAAATGCTTGAGAATGAGATTGAAGTTTTTATGGATGATTTTAGTGTTGGTGGCTCATCTTTTGACACATGTATAATTAACCTTGAAAAAGTTTTGAAAAGGTGTCAAGAGACGAGTTTAGTGTTGAATTGGGAAAAATGCCATTTTATGGTCGAGGAAGGTATTGCCCTAGGCCATAAAGTATCAAAAAAGGGCATGGAAGTCGACTCGGCTAAGGTTTCGGTGATTGCTAAGTTTCCCCCTCCTACCTCCGTGACGGGAGTGAGAGCTTTTCTTAGGCATGCCGGTTTTTTACCGGAGGTTTATCGAAAAAATTGCATCAATCGCCAAGCCCTTAACCGAGTTACTCAAAAAGGATGTTGTGTTCAATTTTGATGAGGCTTGCCTTGAGGCATTTCGAAAACTCAAGGAAGCTCTCATCTCCTCTCCCGTTGTGCAATCTCCGGATTGGAGCTTGCCCTTTGAATTAATGTGCGATGCTAGTGATCTTGCAGTAGGTGCCGTACTTGGACAAAAGAAAGAAGGGAGATCTTGTGTCATCTACTATGCAAGTAGAACACTCGACGAAGCTCAAAGGAATTATACCACAACAGAGAAGGAAATGCTAGCGGTTGTCTTTGCTATGGATAAGTTTAGATCTTACCTTATATGCTCCAAGGTGATCGTGTACACGGATCATGTAGCGGTTCGTTATCTCATGACCAAAAAGGAAGCAAAATTGCGTCTCATCCGTTGGGTTCTTTCGCTACAAGATTTTGATATTGAGATGAGGGATAAAAAGGGAGCGGAGAACTATGTAGCGGATCACTTGTCCAGGCTTCCTTTTGAGAATAAGGAAGATGTTCCTATCATTGATGAAGTGGGATTTGAGACCCTCATGGCTATGGCGTCAACATCAAGCCCTTGGTATAGCAGACATTGCCAATTATCTAGCATGTGGAGTCGTTCCCTCGGAATTCTCCTCTCAACAAAGGAAAAGATTTTTCAAGGAAGTGAGGAGATATTTTTGGAATGATCCTTATTTGTTCAAGCAATGTGGAGTTGGCCTTTTGCGGAAATGTGTCCCAGATCATGAGATCGAGGGGGTTCTTGAACATTACCACTCATTGCCGTGTGGAGGGCATGAAAGAGTTGAAAAGACCGTGGCCAAGATCTCTCAGTCTCTTCTTTGGTGGCCAACAATGCACAAGGATGCCCATAAGTTCATTGCAAGGTGCGAAAACTGCCAAAGGAGTGGTTGCATAACCAAACGTGACGAAATGTCTCAACAAAGCATTTTGGAGGTTGAGCCCTTTGATGTTTGGGGGGTCGACTTTATGGGGCCTTTTGTCTCTTCTTGTGGAAATCTCTATATCTTGGTGGCGGTGGACTATGTGACCAAGTGGATCAAAGCTATACCCTCCCCCACCAATGACCACAAGGTTGTGCTCAAGCTCCTTAATAAGGTTATTTTCCCGCGATTCGGTATTCCAAGAGTTCAAATTAGTGATGGTGGTTCTCATTTTGCCAAGAAACAACTCGAAACTGTCCTCAAACGATATGGGGTTCATCACAAAGTCGGCCTACCTTACCACCCCCAAACTCAAGGACAAGTGGAAGTATCAAATAAGAAGATCAAGAACCTCCTTGAGAGGATGGTGAACAAGTCTAGAAAATATTGGTCACTCAAACTCGATGATACTCTTTGGGCCTTAAGGACAGCGTACAAGACCCCCATTGGTACAACCCCTTACCGGTTGGTTTATGGCAAGGCTTGTCATTTGCCGGTCGAGTTGGAATACAAGGCTTGGTGGGCCATCAAGGAGCTTAATATGGACCTTGGGGAAGCCGGAAAGAAAAGGATGATGAAATTGAATGAATTAGAGGAGCTTCGTTTTGATGCGTATGAGAATTCAAGGCTTTATAAGGAGCAAACAAAGAAGTGGCACGATCAAAGGATAAAGTTTAAAGAATTCAAGGTTGGAGATGAGGTTCTACTTTTCAACTTAGACTTCGTCTTTTTCCCGGAAAACTGAAATCCATGTGGTCCGGTCCTTTCAAGGTTTCTAATGTCACTCCCTATGGGTCCTTTGAGCTAGATGCGGGCAATCATAAGTTTTGGGTTAACGGACACCGCATCAAACTCTATCATTCAAAGAGCGAAGTTGGTCGTATTGAGTGCCTTAGGCTTGATCCCATGGATTACGAGCCTTCTCTTGTAGAGCCTTAACGAATCGGAGCAACGGTCAAGCTAATGACCCTAAAAAGAAGCGCTTCTTGGGAGGCAACCCGGGCCCCTTTCTCCCTTCTATTCTTTGAATTTTTGATTTTTGTTTTTATTGTAGGTCAAGTAGGCCCAAAGAATGAGCACAATGAAGAGAATTAACGACATTCACGCGCTTTCGATGATCTTGGGATGGCAGCTCTCGAAGCCAATTCCGTAATATAGGAATATTGTCGTTTTGAACTTGAACTTTTGTATGCTTTTGATGGGGTTTTAATATTTGATAAACATTTTATTTTTAAGTGTTAGGAATTTTTAATAGAATTAGAGAATATTTTTAGATTGATTGTAGGAGGAAAAATATTCTGTAGATGCCTTGAGAGGGCTCTACAAGGCGCGCATGAAGATTGCGCGGGCGCGCAGGGTTTCTGAAAAAGGGGACAATGTTTCTGTAGATGGATTTCGCGCCCGTGAGAGGGCTCTCACAGGTCTGCGCGGGAGCGCAGGGTGGTTTGCGCGGGCGCGCACGATTCCAGTTCAGAAAAACGCAGGTATGCTTCTTTCACCCTCATTTTCACTCTCAATCTCTCACTTCTCTCTCTCGCCTAAACCCTAACCTCCATTACTAACCTTCCTAATACCTCAAAATCTCCACTTTTCCTCCCCAAATCTCCCTCAAAAATTCATCAAACACTCACCATAATCTCACTTTGCACATTATTGCTCATAAAAAAACCCTTAAATCTCACCCAAGAGATTTCAAGAAAACCCCAAAAACCCCAATCTCCCATTGTACGAACCTAGCCTCCTAGGTGGAGTTTTTGTTCAAATTTTCTTCTTTAAGAAGGTATATCTAACTTCCTAAGCCTAGTTTTCATTACATTTTGATAGAATTCATGATAGGCTTCTTGGATTTGTGATGTTTGTGGGAGAAATTTTGGACTCAATTGAAATACATGTGGTATTTTGCAATTCTTATGATAATATTATCATGTATATGAGTACTCTGGAAAATATGTGATTCTAATGAAATACTTGTGGATGATTTGCAATTTTTGGGATTTTCTTGAAATAGTTAGGGAATTGTAAATTGTTAGATATATGTATTTGTGGGTTTATGCTGTGTAAATTGTTGGCCATGAATTTCATGATGAGTGTGAGTAGTTTGGGAATTTTGAGAATTGTTTGGGTGATGTTTAAATCTCATGAGCTCCTTGCCTATTGACTAACTTTGTTACGTTGTTGTTGTATTCATTGTGCTAATTGTTGTTTTGTAGGATTTCACTTGATAGTGCGATTAAATTTTTGGTTGGTACTCTTCGAATTGTGGTTTGGGTTGATATTTTTGGTGTTTTGGTGTGAAATTCTTTGTGGTATAAACCTTTGAGAAGTGGTTGGGGCGAAGATGTTGAAATTCAGTAGAAAACGATCAAAGAGTGGGATGGAACCACAACCCTCCCAACCTTCCCAATCCCAACAAAATCAACCAACTTTACCCCCTCTTACCTTCCAAAATAACAACCACGAAACCAACTACAAAAAAATGAAAGAGAGGAAGCTTAAACCCTCCAAACACTATCACCGTCCTGCCACCACAAGCTTGGGTGTTGACGAAGACATTTGGGTAGTCTTTGAGAACCTCAATTTGGGTACCTTTGTGAACTCGTCATTCAACACCTACCTTGAGCCAGCCCTTGAATTCTTTTCCACTTTCTCCAGTGAAGCTGTGGGGGATGACGACTTTAGAGTAACCTTCCAGCTTTTCAATAAATCTCATTCACTATCCTTGAGAGAGCTCAACATTGCCCTGGATTTTAATCCAGATGCTAACCTTGTCGCTCCCGAGAACTCCTCCTTCGAAGGTTATATGAAAGACATTGGTGGAGGGAGATCACGGGAAAAGAAGAGTTCAACACCCGCTACTCCTTAGCTAGTGAGATCGTTCACCCGGCCCTTAGAATCCTGCACCGTATACTTGGATACGTTATTTTCAACAAGAAGGATTTAGGGAAGATGTCTAGGGAGGATATTCTCACTCTGTGGTTCG